TTTCTGGTCTCAAGGGAGCAGGGGCCCTGAGGAGCAGTATCAATTACAATCCCAAGGGATCAGAGAGCCTTCCTGGGTAAGGATCAGACTACAAACCAGGAGAGCAATAACCATACCTCTCCACAGATCACAACATCTTGGAAACTCCAAAAACTTCCAAACTCTCAAAATTAGCTCTGAAAACAGCAGTGTGAAAAAGCCTGAAGCTTGAGACATTTCCCTCCCCCTATTCCCACCCTGCACTGGGAACAGAGCCCAACTTTAACATAAAGTTCCAAATCAAGAAATAGAGTGGGAAAGTGAGCAAATAACATCCACAAAAAATAACTTGACCATAAAAGTCTACTGTGGTAACAGGGAAGACCAATATACAAACTTAGAAGACAATGAAGTCACAAGAGCTACAAGCAAAACCTCAAAGAAAAAGAAAATGTGAATTGGACACAAGTCCAACAAGAATTCCTAAAAGAGCTGAAACATAATTTTCAAAATCAAATATGAGAAAAAAAGAAAGAAAAAAAGAAAAAAATCACATGTGTAGTAGAGAAAAATTAGGTAAAGAAATGAAAGTACAGTAAGAAAATTATGAAAAGACAATTAACAGTTTGATAAAAAGGGCACAAAAAATACTGAAGGAAAATCACCTTAAAAAACATAATTGGTCAAATGGAAGAAGAGGTACAAAAATTCACTAAAGAAAATAATTCCTTAAAAATTAGAATTGGGCAAGTGGAAGCTAATGAGTCCATAAGTTATCAAGAAACAACCAAAGTTAGAAGAATGAAAAAAAGAAGATATGAATTGTCTCATCAGAAAAAAACAAAAACCTTGGAAAATAGATTGAGGAGAGATGATATAAGAATTATTGGATTTCCTGAAAGCCAAGCTCAAAGAAAGAGTCAAGGCATCATATTTCAAGAAATTATTAAGAAAAACTACCTCAATATCTTAGAACCAGAGGGTAAAATAGAAATTGGAAGAATTCACTGATCACCACCTGAAGAAAATCCCAAAATGAAAACTCTCAGGAAGGTTATAGTCAAATTTCAGAGCTCGCAAGTCAAAGAGAAAATACTTTAAGCGGCCAGAAAGAATCCATTCAAATACTGTGGAGCCATAGTCAGGATCACCCAAAATCTAGCGATTGTGATATAAAAGGAGCAGAGGGTTTGGAATATGATATTTCAGAAGGCTGGGATTACAACCAAGAATAACCTGCCCAGCAAAACTGAATATAATCCTTTGAAGGAAAAATGGATATTTAATGAAATAGAGGACTTTTAAGCATTTCTAATGAAAAAATGAAGAAAAATCTTACTTTCAAATAAAAAACTTAAGCATAAAAAGGTAAACATGAAAGAGAAATCATAAGGGACTCAGTATAGTTAAATTATTTACCTTTCTGCATAGGAAGATGATACACATAATTTCTAAGAACTATTATCTTTCAGGCAATTTAGAAGGATTCTAAATAGAAAGAGGGTGTGAGAGTGAGTTGATTATGTTGGGATGATGTAAAAAATATGGACAGGCAAGAAAGAGGAATGCCCTGGGAGAAACGGGAAAGGAGAGGAAGAATGGGGAAAAGTATTTCACATGAAAGAGATATTCAAAGAAAAGCTTTTATAGTGGAGGGGAAAATTGGGGGGGGTGATGTTTGAAATTCATTCATATCTAAATTAGTTCAAAGGGAGAAATATGTATGTAAATGTATATGTATATATGTGTATATATTATATGTACATATATACATACATACATATATACACATACTCAATTGGTAATAGAAATCTTTCTTACCCAACAGGGAAATAGTAGAGAAAGGGGATAAGGGGAAAAGGGAGTGGTAAAAGGGAGAGCACATAAAAGAAGGCAGTGGTCAGAAGCAAAACAGATTTTAAAAGAGGAACAGGATAAAAAGAGGGAAGAAGAAACAGAAGAAAATAGGATAGAGGGGAATGCACAGTTAGTAATTATAACTATGAGTATAAATGGGATGAACTCACCCATACAATAGAATTCAATAACAAAATGTATTAGAAACCAGAATGATGAGCAGGATCATTTCAGTAAAACCTAAGAAGTCTTATATGAACTCATGCAAGGTGAAGTGAGCAGATCCAGGTGAACATTGTACCCAGTAACAGAAATATTGTAAGGATGATTAACTCTGAAAGACGTAGCTACTCTGATCAAGATAATGATCCAAGACAATTCCAAAAGACCTGTGATGGAAAAGAATGCTATCCACTTCTACAGAGAGAACTGATGATTTCTGAATTCTGATTGAAACATACTTTTATAAACTTTATTTTTGTTTTATTTTTTGCCTATTTTTCTTTGCCACATGGCTAATATGGAAATGTGTTTTGCATGAGTTCACATGTATAATCAATACTAAATTGCTTGCCTTTTCAAAGAGGAGGGAGGATATTTGGAACTCAATTTTTAAAAGTGATTGTTAAAATTTTTTTACATGTAGTTGGCAAATATTTAGCAAAATAAATAAAAACATATTTTAAAAAAGGAAAAAAAAATTGTGAAGTATTTCACTTGTCAGATCATTAGCTTCTCATTTGAAATAAGTTCCTCCCCTATCCCCCTTATCCTCAACTTAAAACCTAAATGAAATCATTTAGCATGGTTCTAGCTATTCATTTATTGGCACGGTGAATTTGATTTAAATAAAAGCTCATTTAAATAATATCAGAATGTAGCATAATTGAGAAGCCTGAATTTCATTCTATGAAAAGTACATTCTTTTGTTTTGCTATAACAATAGATATTCTTCACAACTCAGAAGAAGATTTAAGTTTCCATGTATTTGCCTTCTTAAGATTTTGCACTTCAAGTGAAGATGGGGCTTAAATGTGTGTACGTAAATTGGTATAGAGACAATAAGAGCTAACCAGGTTTGTTATAGATCCTTTCTGTATATGCCATGTGTGGTAATACAAATCCACAGTTTGGAAGGAGAAGCTAAGCATCTCTTTGATGCTTAATGGGATGGCTAAATTGACTGATCATTGGATAGCCTTGGTAAGAGCAGTTTTCTTTCATCTTCTAAAACCCAAAGCAGTGCCTTAGGGATTGGACCTAATATTGGTGGCTCTAAATTCTTTTTGGTTACTGTGAGTATATTGTTTCAAATAATGTGTAATTAGAAGTTATTATGATTTCCCATTTTTGGTGATGTATTTGAGTTTAAATTAAAATTTTATCTAGTTCCTTTCTATTTGCAAAAAATTTAGGAAATTAATTTAAATGTTCAAAATCTGATTTAAATAAAAACAGAATGAAGTTTTGTTGTTACTGTTATTTTGAAACCATCTATTTCTAGCTACCCAGTAAATCGTACATCTGGAAAGATTTTTCAGGAAGCAGTAAAAGCTTTTGCTGATAAAATGTTCATTTTTTTGGTTAAGTAAATTGAAGACTCAGAAATAATGAGGACGCTCCAGAGTAAATCACAGCAAAAATTTAAATTCCAGGCCTCCTAACCAAATTTAATAGCCACTCATTATCTCCTTTCCCAACCTTTCTTGTATTCCTCCCAAAACCCTTTGCACTATTCAGTGTGGGAAGAGGGGTGTGTTCTAGCTATGTGTGAGTTCCCAAGTCTTTTAAGATCTGCTTGGGCTTTAGTAGTGCTTATAACAAAAAAAATTTTTTTAAGGAGACCTCATTTACAATTTTATTCATCTAGAAAAGAAACAAAGGGAAAAATGCTTTAAGGGAGAGTTTCTTAACCTGGAATCCATGAACTCAAAAATATTTTGGTAACTATATTTCTAATCCTATGTGTTTTATTTTGTGCATTTTAAAACATTCTGAAAAGGATTCTGTGGTCTTCATCAGCCTGCCAAAGAGGTCCACGACACCAACATCAACAACAACAGCAACGACAAAGCTTTGGAATGCTTGTTTTAGGAGGTAGTTGCCTATGTCAAAAGGACAAAGGACACAATGAGAGCACCAGTAAAAATGGGATTATGTAGCTCAGCAGCATCCAGCATGTGCCACAGAGCAAGATATCAACTCTGAGGCCTCATTAGACTGCTGGGATTGCATTCACTTATGAGGAATATGTTGCTGGTCATGTGATCGTTAATGCCTTTTGCTCAACTGAAAGTTAGGTTGGAAATTTTGCAAATCTGTAGGGGGAAAATCAAAACCAGTAAATTAGTGGTGTGAATATTCACATTTCAAAAGTTTTTTTTGATTTGAGAGAGATTCCTTTGAACGATGACCTCATTTAGTGTATGTAGGTGTGTTCTTTTTTCAAATGCTTATTTGATTTTCCAAAAAGAAAAGCCTATTTATATATATAATATGATGCAGTAAAAAGAATTTTGGCTTAGAAATTGAGAGTTATAGCTCAATGTTTTGCACATAAGCACTTAATAGGTATATATTGAACATAATTGTTGAACTGAATGTAATTTTTTTTACTGTTTGTGTGATATTAGGCAAATCCCTCAGCATTTCTGGACTTGACTTTCCTTACTGGGAAAAGAGGGAGTTCGATTAGATTATATCTCAGATCCTTCCAACTTGACATTCTATGAACTTTTCAGAGCATACTTATTGTATAAAGTCAAGCATACATGCCCTCAGGAAAAAAATAAAAAGACATTCACTGTGCTGTCTTTCTCCATTGTCCTAATCATTCTCTTTGTTAAAATGCAAACTCCTTGAGAAAAGGGACTATTTCATTCTTTTCACTTGTATCCCCATCACCTTGGACAGTGTTTGGCACATGGTAGGTGTTTAATCAATACTTGCTGACTAATTGATTTGTGTCGTGCAAAGGTACTCTTCAGGTCACATTAATAACACAGGACAATTGCAGGTGGAGATCCAATGAATGAAGCTTTATAAGTAAGATTGGAGGGGGGAGGGCTGCTTGCCTTAGTTACGGAAGCACCTGGTGTAGCAATATGTCTGGACACTGTAACAAGTGGGAACCCTCCCGATAACAGACAGCCCTTTGTTTCTAGGTCATCTACCAGACCAGAAGTGGCCAGTATTGAACCTGTGGATCTGGATGAACGGCAATGCTCTCAAAAGGCAGTTGTGCAGGCCCGTCTATCACAGCCAACCCGCCTCACCACAATCATCTTTGCAGAAGATATCAGTAAGCACTCTGCTTTTTCTTCCAGTCCTGTGAGGGTTGTGCAGTCAGATGCCATACCCTTTTGAAAAGCATATGTTGTTGAGGCCTTTTCTATTTACATTATAATTATTTCTGGTGAGGGAAAAACACCTCTTCCCCCTTTCAAATTAAATCCTCCATCCTTTTTTAACAAGAAAAAAATAATTAGGCAAATGCAATTCATACAGGGACCCCCTCTGACAAAATATACAATATTCTAGTACCAGTATTTTTACTGTCCAGCCTAGTGTTAGACTCTAGGGAATATATGAGGAGAAAAACTAGTCTTTGCTCTAGGGTTATTCTGGCCACTCTGCTAGAGACCATGGGCCAGTACGTGGTTTCTGCTGATGTTCCAACTTATCATGCCACACAGTCGACTCAGTAAACATTTATTAGGCTCTTGCTGTACTCTAAGACTGTACCAAGTAGTGGAGCACAATGGTTTGTCCCAAAGACAGTCTCTTCCCCCAATACACACACAGAGTTTGTAGATACTTCGTGGACATATTGATTTATAGGCCATCCCACAGGTAGAGTATTGCACAGAGGAATGTCTATGAGAATGATTCTGCTCAGCTATTGTCAAGGTTTGAGTTTTTCCCATGTATGACTTTTCCCATGCATATGGTGATTAAGCCCAGACCCCATCTACATTCTTTCACTTTATCCCCCTGGTGGTGTGGAACTTTCATTTTGAAGTACCTGGTACCAAAAGCATAGCTCAAACCACTTAACTCAGAGTTATTTCCCAGCATGATGTTACCTCCAGGAAAGTGTCTGAAAGTTGTACACACAACAATCTTCACTCTCTGCCTCTTATATTGGATGAGTTGAAAGTCTGTGTGCATCCATTATAGACTTTTAGGGACCATCAAAGACCCTATTCATGAATGTAGACCATTTCCTGTTTATTTTAGCTGATGACAAACATTGAAAACAGACTCATCCTTGGCTGTGTATCTTACAAGCACATTTTATTTGAAAGTTTATACCAATTCACTTGACCGCTTTGGATGAGGGGATTCAGGCTGTGGCAGGCAAACAGTTTGTCTTTAGGAGAAATTGCTGTTTCAGAGACTGGACTTAGAAGGTTGACCTTAGTAATGCTAGATTCTAAGCCGGAGAGTTTATTGCGTCAGCAATATAGCTTCACTTTTAAGGATTGATTTTATAGTTTGGTTCTGATTTCTGTTTTTTAGCGTGGTTTTTAAAAATTTATGACTGGATAGCCTGGTGTTGTGGATTGAGTTCTGGCCTTGGAGTCAGGAAAACCTTCAGCATCTGATACATGACTCTAGATAAGTCACTTAATTCCCCCATTCCCTCAGACAACTCTCTTATATTTTAAGTTGCAGAAAGGTTGCTGATGTGCTAGGTGGAGGGAGTTTTCTTACTGGCATTTCCTTATACCAATTAAATAAAAAGGTTGAACTCCTCTCCTCCTAAAAGGGCTGGACTAAGGTTTATGGGGAGAGAGGCACTATCCTGTATTGTAAGGTTTTGTCGGGGTATGGTCAGAGGGTGCCTCTCTCTGGGGCTGTTAGTCTGAGTACCTTAGGGAGGAATAAGGTGCTTTTTCACAGTTCAGATTCTAAGAGAACAGGAGTTAATAATATCTTCTGGAGGGAGCCAATGGTGTCTACATTCAGAAGGGAGGCTTAGAATCTTCTGTCAGCTTTCATTTCCTGGTTAGCATCCCTCTGAACCATGTGAGTGAGCTCACTATACACCTCTCATACTGGTTTGGGTTGTGTTTCCAGGCTTTACCTTTGCCACATCCTCTGCTCCCTAAATTTCCTGTGAGCCTATCCCCAACCCTGTACCTACTGACTGAGTGAAGAGGAAGAAGGGCAGGGAAAGGTAGCAAGAATTTCAAGCCCTGGGGCTGATAATGTGTGTCTGGGCCATCTCCTTCAGTGACCGGCCAGGTTCTGCGTTGTGATGCTATTGTGGACATCATCCATGGCATTCAGATTGTTTCCACCACCCGAGAACTCTACCTTGAAGACTCTCCCTTGGAACTGAAAATTCAGGCTCTGGATTCAGAAGGTGAGTAGGCTCCTATATATAATTCATTCAAAATCTTTTTTTTTAAAAGTTGTTTTCTTCCCTTTCTCTGAATTATCAAAATAATTGCCTTCTTTGCCTGCATTTCCCTTTACTATTGTAGGAATTTCTTAGATTGTTTTTTCCTCATTTACTCTGAAGGAGTGTTAGGACTTTCAGAGAAAAATGCTATTCCCTCTGGCCCCCATCCTCCCAGGTGGGTTAAGAATGTCATTGTTCTTCTTTCCTAAAATGTAAGTGACTCCTTCTGCCATATTTTCTTTTAAGACTCAATGGCATTGGGCCCAGGACACCAGAAAGAGTTTGGCACTCTCTCTGCATGGCCCCATGTGGGCCTGCCTCTTATCCCTGTTTACACATTGGCGGTCGATGGGCACATGCAAAGGAAGTTAGAAAGCATTGCAGAAGAGAAAAGCTTTAACATTTTCTGATTTAGATCAAGTGACTCACTGTGGCTTTTAAACCACTGTCCCCTTCATGACTTTGGGTTGGGATGGCTCACAGCCAAGACCAGTTTGTTTGTGGAGTCCTATGAGGGTTGTGGAGTCAGACGCCATGTTCGGAATGCTGGAGTTACACTGGAGAAAAATAAATACTTTGAAAGCCTTTCACCTTGACGGTAACACTGCTCCACTTTGCCATGCAAGAGTGATAGACACAATACTGGATGACTTCCAGTTAGTAAATCACATTGTGAATACTGAGACAAGTTTTCCCTTCTAATGTTGTGGTATCAATCTGGCTTTCTTGACCAAATTCTAAACATGTTTGCATGGTATCATTTTGACCCCACAGAATCGGCACACTTAATAAGCTCTTTGCTCCATGAAAAATGAAATTATTCTTGCACTGTGGTTGAAATCCTGCTTAAATGAGGACTTAGACTAGCAGATATATTTCCTTTACCCTTCCTGGGGTCTGTGAACATGTGCTGTTTTAATGCATATACATATACATACACATATGTGTATCTATACATTTATCCATATGTATCATGTATGCACATATAACATATTTAACAGAGAAGGTATAGATAAACAGAAAACTATTTCAATATAGGTAGTTTCCTTTATAATCCTATGTATTTTATTTTACGCCTTTAAAACAATGTTTTGTGAAGGGCCCCCTAGGCTTTACCAGATTGTCTAAGTCTTCCATACTCAAAAGAGGTGAAAACCCCTTGCTTCTCTTTTTCTATGGAGCAGCATGGTGTAGATAGAGAGCCAGTCTTGAAGGCATGAAACCCTCGATTCTAGTCCTGCTTCTGACACATAGTTGTCTTGTGACCCTGTAAGTTGCTTAATCTCACTGGGCCCCAGGTAGCTCTGTGATATTCTAAGTTATAGTTAAGTTGCTGATCTGCATTGGTGGAGGGAGTTTCCATACTGGAAGCTGCCCCCCATCAATGAAACCACAGTTCCGGACTCTTCTTCCCCCACCCCCAAAAAAGGTACATTCAAACAGCAAGTCAGAAGAAACAACATATAAGAGAGTATATGAAAGAGAGTAATACAGTACATTATTACAAATGGCATAGTTTTATATACTTCAGCTTCTGAACCTTCAAATCCTTCAGGATTCATCTCAGATTTACTTCAGCCCCCACACCCCCTTCTTTCATCTCTTGACGCTGTTACTTCCACCATACTTTAGATCACATAGTTCTGCATTGTCCCCTAATTGTTATATGCCTTACTTCCCCAGTCGTTAATTTATTCATTCATCAGACATTTGTTAGTCATCTGCTAGGTGTAATGAATGTCCTGTGCCAGGCACTGGAAGCAACACAGGGTGTCCCAAAAGTCTGTGTGGAGTTTTAAGTTATTAAAGCTATAGGACTAGAGTGCTCTCAGTAGTTGGACTAGTTCCCAGCTTCATCAATAGTATATTAGTGTACCAATTTTCCCGCATCCCCTCTAGGATTTGTCATTTTCCTTTTCTGTCATTTACCCAATCTGATTGGTATGAGGTGATACCTTGGAGTTGTTTTCACTTATGTTTTTCTAGTTATTAGTGATTTAGAACATTTTTTTCATGTGGCTATTCACATCTTTGATTTCTTTCTCTGAAAACTGCCTGTTTATATCCCTTGCCAGTTTATCTATCGGGGAATGGCTCTTATTTTTATAAATTTGGTTCAGTTCCCTCTGTATTTGAGAAATGAGACTTTTGTGAAAGAAACTTGCTGCAAAGACTTCCCCCCAGTTTCCTGCCTTCTAATTTTGACTGCATTGATTTGTTTGTACAAAAATTTTTAAATTTTATGCAATCAAAACTATCTATTTTGTCACCTGTGAACCTATCTCTTATTTGACCATAAACTCTTCCCCTGTCCATAGATCTGACATGTCATTTCTTCCATGGTTCATTTATCTGCTTATGATTTCACCCTTTATATCTAACTGATATACTCATTTTGAGCTTATCTTGGTATATCATGTGAGAAACTGGTCTATGCCTAGTTTCTACTAGACTGGGAAAACTATTCACATCTTTGATTTCTTTCTCTGTTTCCCAGCAGTTTTTTATCAAATAGTGAATTCTGGACTCAGTAGCTGTGATCTTGGTGTTTTATCAGACACTAGACTGCTATGTTCATTTGTTTCTTATGTTCCATTGATCAACCACTCTGTTTCTTATCCAGTTCCAAATTATTTTGATGATTACAGCTTCTTAATATAATTTGAGATCTGATACTGCTAGGCTTCCTTCCTTCATTTTTTCTTATCGATTCCTTGGACGTTCTTGACCTTTTCTTCCTCCAGATGAATTTTGTTATTTTTTTAACAGTACTAATTCTTTCATAGTTTGATTGGCATGGCACTGAATAAGTAAATTAATTTAGTATCATCATTTTTATTATATTGTCTTGGTCTACCCATGAGCAATTAATATTTCTCCAGTAATTTAAATTTGTTTTTATTTGTGATTGTGTTCGTATAGTGTCTGTGTGTGTCTTGTCAGGTAGATTCACGGGTATTTTATACTGTTTGCAATTGTTTTAAATGAAATTTCTCTTTCTATTTCTTCCTGCAGGATTTTGTTGGTAATATATAGAAATGTTAATGATTAACGTGGGTTTGTTTTATATCCTGCAACTTTGCTGAAGCTGTTAATTGTTTCAACTCCTTTTTTAATTGATTCCCTAAGTTTCTCTAAGTAAACCATCGTATCACCTGGAAAGAGTGATAGTCATTGCCTGTGCTTTTTCCTTCAATTTCTTTTTCTTGTCTTAATGCTATAGTTAGCATTTCTAGTACAATATTGAATAGTGGTGATAATAGACATCGTTGCATCCTCTTTGATCTTAGTAGAAAATGTGTCCCCATTAGAGATAATGTTAGCTTTTTGGTTTTAGATAGGTACTACTTAGCACTGTGTTTTTAATAGGAATGAGTGTTATATTTTGTCAAGCTTTTTCTAAATGTCCTGAAATAATCACACGATTTTGTTTGTTGTTGATTTAGTTAATTATGCTTATAGTTTTTTGAGAAGGTTTTCCTTTCTATTAATGCTTAAAACTGCACTAATACTTTGGGGGCACCCTGTATAACAATAAATAAGAGGTGCTTCCTACCCTCAAGGAGTTTGCAATTGAACACACATTAAACCCCTCAAGGAAAGATCTCTTCCATGCTGTCCAGCTGTGCTGGGGACACAGATGCTTAAAAATGTGCATTGACTAATTTTTATTGAATTGACTTGACTTGGTAGTGCACGAGACTTTGACAGTTGCCCCTTCTTCAAAAGTCCAGGAATAGAGATTAATTGTTAGTTTGTTTAAATCCTGCTTTGGTCAAGTCCTTAACCAAAGGTGTCCACATCTAAAAATTTGACCCCCTAGTAACTAATATAAGAGTATAAGATTCAAGCTGCAAACGGTTCCATTTATTATTAATCATAAAGACCTGTAATCAAAGGGGCATCCTTTTTTTTTAATAAGCAATGAATTTGTTTATATAAACAGAAGATATTTGTGATTTTGCTTCTCAGTCTTTTTCTGCCAGGAGTGCGTATTACTGGTCAGTAGATAAAAGGACAGAGGCCTCTTGTTTGGATCTTGGCTGGGATTTTGTCTGTATTTTAGCTCAGTTAAAGCTGTAGTTTCTTTCCTGAGGACAGAACTGACCCTCTGTCCTCTTGGGGAACTTATTATCTGAATCTGATATATCTAGATAGCTGCCACTATGTTAAAAATATATTTTTTTAAAGCCAGACCTTTGATTTCATCATTGTGGGGAGCTCCCAGTGAGGATCAGCACTGGCTCTGAAACTTTGAGACAATTGCCAGAGGCACCTAGAGTCCCATAGTTAGTTACTGTCAGAGGCAGGGCGTAAATCCAGACTTAATAATGCAGAGGCCAGCTTTCTATCCACTACCCCATGCTGCCTCCTAAAGAAGATAGTTCCAAAAGATGAAATGAAGTTTTCCTGTCCAGAATTTTGAATTAGTCTCTTTGTTTCACCAAAGGATTTCCCTATGCCTCATTAATGTGTAGAGGTGACTTCAGCTTCTCAAAGACTGTACCAAAGATCTTGCCAAGCTGGAATCTCTTTGAGTATGTCCAGTGATGAAGGATGCGGGTGTCTTCGAAGGTCAGCCCACATAAGTTTAAAGAGGATCATCACCAGAAATTTGGCAACTAGGTCATGATTTAATTTTGTATTTTGGCCATAGTAAACCATGAAGACTGTCTGCTAAGGGAAGATAGGGTTGGGTTCCATATCAGTATTCTCATACTGATGAAACAGAGTATTGTGGAAAGAGCATTGATTCTGAAGCCAGAGGACTTGGGTTCATATGCTGTCTTTGACACTAGCTACAAGACCTTGGGCAAGTCACTTAACTTCCTTGGGCCTCAGTTTCTTTATTTGTAAAGTGAAGGATTTGTACTAGATGGCCTCTGAGTTCCCTTCCACCTCTTGAGCAGCGATTCCCATGACTGATCTTTTGAAGTTGTTCTGCTGTCATTTTGTAAGTA